CTATTTCTTCCGGCAATCTTAATTCCGGCTTCGGATTCAGCTAGTCCAGCCTTTCGCATGATGAATTCTGCATATAAGTTAAATAAGCAGGGAGACACTATACAGCCTTGTCGTACTCCTTTCCCAATTTTAAACCAATCAGTTATTCCATATCCAGTTCTAACTGTAGCTTCTTGTCCCACATAGAGATTTCCCAGGAGACAGATGAGGTGATCAGGCACTCCCATTTCTTTAAGAACTTGCCATAGTTTACTGTGTTGACACAGTCAAATGCTTTTGCGTAGTCAATGAAGGAGAAGTAGATGTTTTTCTGGAACTCTCTAGCTTTCTCGATAATCCAGCGCATGTTTGCAATTTGGTCTCTGGTTCCTCTGCCCCATCGAAATCCAGCTTGCACTTCTGGGAGTTCTCTGGCCACATACTGCTTAAGCCTGCCTTGTAGAATTTTAAGCATAACCTTGCTAGCGTGTGAGATGAGTGGAATTGTGCGGTAGTTGGAGCATTCTTTGGCACCGCCCTTCTTCGGGATTGGGATGTAGACTGATCTTCTCCAATCCTCTGGCCACTGCTGAGTTTTCCAAACTTGCTGGCATATTGAGTGTAGCACCTTAACAGCACTATCTTTTAAAATTTTAAATAGTTCAGCTGGAATATCATCACTTCCACTGGCCTTGTTATTAGCAGTGCTTTCTAAGGTCCATTTGACTTCATTATCCAGGATGTCTGGCTCAAGGTGAGCAACCACATTACCTGGGGTGTACGAGACCTCCATATATTTCTGGTATAATTCCTCTGTGTATTCTTGCCACCTCTTCTTAATGTCTTCTGCTTCTGTTAGGTCCTTTCCACTTTTGTCCTTTATTATGGTAATCTTGTACGAAATGTTCCTTTCATATCTCCAATTTTCTTGAACAGATCTCTGGTTCTTCCCATTCTGTTGTTTTCCTCTGTTTCTTTGCATTGCTTGTTTAAGAAGGCCCTCTTGTCTCTCCTTGCTATTTTTTGGAAATCTGCATTAAATTTCCTGTATCTTTCACTATCTCCCTGGCATTTTGCTTGCCTTCTCTCCCCCGCTATTTGTAAGGCCTCATTGGACAGCCACTTTGCTTTCTTGCATTTCCTTTTCATTGGGATGGTTTCCGTTGCTGCCTCCTGTATAATGTTACGAGCCTCCATCCATAGTTCTTCAGGCACTCTGTCCACTAAATCTAAATCCTTAAACCTGTTACTCACTTCCACTCTGTATTCATAAGGGATTTGATTTAGATTGTGTCTTACTGGCCCAGTGGTTTTTCCTACTTTCTTCAGTTTTGCTATAAGAAGCTGGTGATCTGAGCCACAGTCAGCTCCAGGTCTTGTTTTTGCTGACTATATAGAGCTTCTCCATCTTTGGCTGCAGAGAATATAATCAATCTGATTTCAATGCTGCCCATCTGGTGATGTCCATGTGTAGAGTCGTCTTTTGTGTTGTTGGAAAAGAGTATTTGTGATAACCAGCTTGTTCTCTTGACAGAACTCTATTAGCCTTTGCTCAGCTTTGTTTTGAACTCCAAGGCCAAACTTGCCAGGTGTTCCTTTTATCTCTCGACTCCGTACTTTAGCATTCCAATCCCCTATAAAGAGAAGAACTTCCTTCTTTGGTGTCATTTCTAGAAGGTGTTGTAAGTCTTCATAGAATTGGTCAATTTCAGTTTCTTCAGCACCGGTAGTTGGTGCATAAACTTGGGTTACTGTGATGTTAAAAGGTCTGCCTTGGGTTCATATCGAGATTATTCTGTCATTTTTGAGATTGTATCCCAGTACAGCTTTTGCCAAACTGAATTCGCCCATTCCCGTCCATTTTAGTTCACTGATGCTCAGGATGTCAATATTTATTCTTGCCATCTCATTTTTGACCACATCCAGCTTACCAAGGTTCATGGTTCTTACACTCCAGGTTCCTATGCAATATTATTCTTTACAGCTTTGGACTTTCCTTATGCTTCCAGGCATATCCGCAACTGAGCGACCTTTTGGCTTTGGCCCAGCCACTTCATCAGCTCTTAATCTGCTTGGCAGGGGGTTGGACTCGATGGCCCTTGTGGTCTATTTCAACTCTATGATTCTATGATTCTTCTATGAATCTACTTGTACTTGTCCTCCGCTCTTCCTCAGTAGCATGTTGGACGCCTTCCGACCTGAGGGGCTCATCTTCCAGCGTCATAACTTTTATATTCCTGTTGTCTTTGTCCATGGAGCTTTCTTGGCAGGGATACTGGAGTGGCTTGCCAGTTCCTGCTCCAGGTGGATCACGTTTGGTCAAAACTCTTCACTATGATCTGTCCATCTTGGGTGGCCCTGCACGGCATAGCTCATAGCTTCTCTGAGTTATTCAAGCCCCTTCGCCACAACAAGGTAGTGATCCATGAAGGAGACAAATATATTAACATAAATAATAACATGTGTACCCTTATGGGCAGGTTGAAGGGTACATGACTATTCAGTGAACCCATGAGAGATGAGGAAATGAGAAATAAGATGGCAGTACAGGTTAGGGTAGAGAAAAAGGCAATCACACAGAAAGGTCCCAAGAAGACAGAAATAAGCAAAAGAAAAATCAAACAGAAGCCAAGAAATTAAAAGTAGGACCCATGTTAAAGTAGTTAACTGGTAGATTCTACTGGCCAGTTGCCAATCTCCCCTTCTTGGGCAGGGTTCTTAAGCTGGTAGTCACAGACCAGATCCAGACACTTTTGGAGGAAACTGATTTTCTAGATCCATTTCAATTGGGCCCAGTTTTGGCACAGAAACTGTTTTGCTCGCCCTGCATGATTACCTTTGTTGGGAGAGAAACAGCGGAAATGTGTCCCCGTTAATTCTCCTCAACCTCTCAGCAGTTTTACAAACCACCAACCATAGTATCCTTCTGGAGCCCTTCTGGAGCAGCTGTCCAAGTTAGGTGTGGGTAGCACCGCTTTGGAGTGGTTCTGGTCCTACTTGGATGGTCACTTCCAGAGGGTGATGCTTGGGGAGTGCTCTTTGGCCCCATGGAGCCTTCAATGTGGGGTTACTCAGCATTCAATTTTATCCCCTACGCCAGTGGTTGTCAACCAGTGTGCTGTGGCACCCTGGGGTGACTGGAGGAACGTTCAGGGGAGCCCTGGGTCCCATCATTTCATTAACTTGCAGCCCCCTCCAAAAACACCACACCAAAAATCCTCCCCAGCTTCTGTAATTAACAGTTCCTTAGTTTTAGAGAAAGGGCTTGAGAAAGGCAAGAAAACAGCAAAGTAGCTTGATGGGGTGTCTGCCTGGATGTGTGTGTGTTCTTAAAAATAACCCTGAAAGTGGGGGGTGTCTTTCATGTTTCTCTCTCCTTCTACCCCCCAACATCCCTCCCCCTTCTTCTCTACCTCTCCCCCCAGGCAACCCCCTCCTCCTTAACAGGGAGATTATTATGCTTATTACTAATTACCCACTCTTCACCTTAAGATCTCAGGGCAGGTTATAACAGTTTAAAACAAATTGCAATCACAAAAAATAAGGCAGGATACCTCAGTCAGTAGACCATGAGACTCTTATAATCTCAGGGTTGTAGGTTTAAGCCCCACTTTGGGCAAAAGATTCATGCACTGCAGGTGGTTAGATAAATGGCCTTCCCCTCACGGTCCCTTACAACTACAATTCTGTGATTGCACGATATACACCTCAAGTGTCAAAAGCCAGGGTAAGGAGGTCATCAGCATTCACTGAAAGTGGTATAGGTGCCAGGCATCTGTGGGGAGAGTTCCACAGTTTAGGGGCTGCCACAGAGAATGTCCTGTTCCAGACAATCACCAACTGAGACTCTGAGGGCAGAGTAACTACCAAGAGGGCACCCCCTGCTGACCTTAGCACCCAAGAGGCTCTGTCGGAGAGAGTCTTTCAAATATTTGGGGTCTAAGTTGGGTGTTAAGCTGCAGTGTGAGCACTTTCAGTTGGGCCAAGAAATGAACTGGCAACCAGAGTACACAATGTGGCTGTTAACTGAGCATTCAGTCCAATTTGTTTGCAGGGAAGTTATATGAAGCGACTGTTATCTCACTCTTTCCAGTGCATTTCCCCCCCCCCCCATCACCTTCCTTGCCCCACAAAGTCCAGGAAGGGTACCCAATTCACTTTGGTTGCAAAACCTGAATTTGTGGTTAGAGAACTGAATCCCATCCACAAAATGCAGTTTGGAAGAAGCCCGAATGCTAATGGGTCAAAACTTAAAATGGGATCCAGTGGTCTATGAAGGACATTTTGTATCTATGGGGTCAAAAACTACAGGAAGGAGGATCTAGAAGATTCCTACTATAATAGGAGAACATCCAGAGCATTAATACTTCTGTGGGTCACAAAACCTTAAAGAGAAAAGGACTAAGGCCTGGGAGACCAGGGTTCAAAGACTAACTCAGCTACAGTGCCGAATAGGTGGCCTTTAGCCAGTCGCTGCCTCTCAGGCTAACCTGCACCACAGGATTGTGAAGATAAAATGAAGAGTAGGTGAACTATGTACATCACACCTAGTTTCCTTGGAGGAAAAAAGGTGTAACAATAACTATTGCTATTTGATAAATGAAAGGGACCCATTGCCCGCCGCCCGGGTAAAGATTCTCAAATACTCATTTTGGTGAAGGAGTAGAATTAGAGGCTTCAGCATTTGATAACGAGAAGCGGCGCTGAGTGGGGAGAGGTTCTGCGCGTAAACAAACATATATATTTACGCAGGACCTGGATGTGTTGTAAGGCAGTCACTAGTTCCGTGTGTACTACAGTCCCATGGTTTCGGAGGATGGATTACGTGGCGATTTCTCAGCGGAAGAGAGGAAGCCGCTGTGCTTTTAGTCGCTGCCCCTGTTGCCTGCTAACACACACACACACAAACTTCAAAAAATCAAAACAGGAAAACAAAACACCCTTTCCCGAAGGCTGGAAGCCGTGTGAGAATGGAAGCCCCGAGAAGAAGCGAGAGCCAGCGCTTCGCAGTCCCTCCTTACCCGCACGGGCTGAGGGCGGCGCTTCCCGCCACCGCTTCTGAGGGGCCACCGCAGCCGCCATCATCACTTCCTCCGGGGCGGCTCTAAAGCCTCCCTGCTGCTCCTCCTCCGCCGGCCCTCAGAGCCGCCCACCGCCTGCCTCTCTCCCTCATGGCTTCTGCTGTTCACACCCACTTCGACCGTCGACATCTGTCCCCTCACGGAGTGCATATAGGTTGCCTTAACGTTTTCGGCGGAAAGCGGGGGAAATAGCCTCCCGTGTGGCAATTGCTATTCTCCACAAATCCTCTCAAAAAACAATTGCGACAAATCTACCGGATCTTGGATGGGAAGCCGTGTATATTCCCCACAAAATGCCCTCCTGCCAAAGAAATCTATTCGTATTTGACTTTTAATTCAAGACCCCCCCCCCCGAAAAAACCCACTTAAAAGTAAATACACGTGACAGATACATATAGGTTTGCATGTATTCACCACAAAATAGCCTCCAGTGAGACAAAACTAGGAGGGAGGTTTTTTGTGTTGGGGGGGGGGTATCCTTATACAGTATTGTGGCAAAAAAACACAAACCACAGAGTAAAAGCTTACAGCTAAAACAGATTTAAAATCGTGGGGAAATATGATAATGGGAAGATATTTAAAATCAGCCTTGGCCTGAAACGACAGCAAAGTAGGTCCTAGGCAAGACTTTCTGGGGAAGACATCCTTCAACTAGGGTGCCACCACTGAAAAGGGTCCTGCAGTTCCCTCAGAGGAGGATATTTGGACGCCAAGATCTCAAAGTGCACATGTAGAATAAGATAGTATTTCTGGTGCCCAAGGGCTTTAAAAAATCAAAACCAGCACCTTGAGTGGAGCTTAGAAATGAACTGGGATCTAGTGAAGATGGCAAAAAAATAATAATTATCACCTGGTCCCATCTAGCAGTCACGAAGCCATAGCCCAAACGAACTGCAGTTTCTGGAACGTTTTCAAAGGTAGTTGCACATGCAACACATTGTAGTGGTCCAAGCTCATATAAATGTATGATTTAATAGCTGCAGTGTCCACAGCAATGTAGGAACCGCACTAGCATGCACTCCAACTGTCCATATTTTAGCCTTCTTGGGGGGAAAAATTATGGCTTTAAACTTTGGTGGCTTTAAAAACGGATTAGACAAATTCATGGAGAATGAGGCTATCATCCATAGCTACTAACCACATTGTTTATGCTCTACCTCCAGTGTCAGAGGCAGTAAGGCTTCTCAGTGAGAGTTGCTAGGTACTGCACTCAGGTATTGATTGTGGGCATCCCATCAACATCTGGTTGGTCACTGTAAGAAAAGGATGCTGAACTGGATGGGCTGACACAGCAGGGCTCTTCTTATGCTCTTAAAATAAAATTAGCATGCACTTTGTACAATAGTTTCTAGTCCCCTATACACCAAATAGGAGTGATTAGCAATACCATAACCCACATACAACCAGATGCATTATGGGAATGGCTGGAAGTGGAATACTATGGTTTCAAATTAAGCCAGATGCAACGAGACCCATTTAAAAAGGACGAGGCTAATGTTTAGCCAAAATCAGCTTCATTGGATTCGCAACCATTGGTTCTAATCCTATAGTAGTTATAGATGCTTCAGTTTAAAATGGAAAATGGTTTTTATACCATATTTTTATGTGTCTTTGTGGTTTTTAACTGTGATTTAAATTATTTTAGTGTTATTTTATGATGACAGTATGCCACCCTGCTCTCCAAAGAAGAGGGGCATGAAAGAGCCTCAGAGAGGCTGTTTATATTGTAAGCCATTTTGTCCAGACTATTTGCCTGGAAAAGCAAGATATATAGACATAAATAAATAAAAGATAACTAAAATTGCTTCTACAGAGCACTGGCTTTTATAGTAGACTATAAAAGCCCAAATTTATAAGTAATAGGTAGACTTATTTTATTAATTCAGCATCACTATGCAACAGAGACATACAAAAATAAAAGTGATTGGATTATTTCTAATCAGGTTAGATTTGAAATCAATAGCTAAGATTATGTAGTTAAGTCATTCTGCATAGTTGAAAGGGGAGAAAGCATAAGGATCTTTGTAACCATCAATATTCCAGGGCTTGTGTAATTAAAATTATCCCACATCATGTGAAACCAGAACAGTCCCAGTTTGGTGAAGTGTTTTTCCACTGACCAATAGGAAGATGGACATTTTGGAACAGATGGTAAAAGAATATAATAAGGTCAGCTGTGATCAAGCATGATACCAGTGAAGAGTGAGCTGGTTATTGGTGTCCGGAACGTAAAGGATTTAAATGAAATGGACATCAATTCTGACACAGTGGTTGTCACGGGTAAGGCTCAATTTTTTTAGTCCTCTTTTAGCCATGCATGGAATGTGCATACACTGGTCTGCAATTTGTCATAAACAACTCCAAAGGCACACACAGACACACAAACAACTAGCAACTGGACATACCAACATTTCCAAATGGAAAATAGCTCACTGCTGCAACTTGCTAAAAAAGATCAGATGGTATGTCAGTGGGGTAAAAGAAAATGCATGCTATCCTTTATCCAAGAAAGCTTGCCGTTCGTTATTCCTGTCACTTCCGAAAATATCTGTTGATATCTTTTCCTGTGCGGGCTATTTAGCCTCTAGGGTAAAACTAGAAAAGTGTTCCCTAAAAAGAGCAGTAGAGCAAGACTGCTTCCCAGTTCCACATCAAGGTCCAAAATTAGAGCCAACACATGTCAAATTTCAACTTCTCAGTTTCAAAACAAGGAGATAAAAATCAGAGGAAATAACACACACTGTTTTATTACCCCAACACTATAATATATAAACAGTGTGTTGAAATAGCATTCCGGAACATCCAAGTCCCTGGAGCCAATTTTGGATATTTTCTTTTCAGTTATAGTTAATGCTGAATCACCAGTGAAGATGCAATCAGTTAAGAGAGAGAGACTGAGCTTTAAAAGGTTGAAACTCTCCTGGAATGCCACTGCACACTCTTGCTCACTGTTACGCCACTAGCTGCTCTAAAGGCAATCATTACGTATAGGCTTGACATGTGAGTTGCTGGATAGTTTTCCACTGTAGGCCATCTGAGGACACAGCACTGAGAATGAAGTGGCATCAAAGAGAATCTGAATCTAGCCATTTTCAATTAGCACACAATTTAAGATTATTTTTGTGTTTGTTAAAATAGCTGCCAGGCAGCCTAGGCAGAAACATTTCAGACGCTCCATAGTTTTAGGTGACTTGGATGAGGAAGTGGGAATGACGAAACCACTTAAGCTTTCTGTAGAATCGTGGAACTGTGGAGTTGGAAGGGATCCCAAGGGTTATCTAGTCCAACCCCCTGTGTTGCCGTAATCTGAACGAAATCATACATATCCATTTTTAATGTCCATATGAGGGCAATAGATTTGGCCACCCGAAATGTCATAAAATCATATGCAAACATCAGACTAGATGTTTAAAAAACATATAGGGAAGAGAATATAAGAACATAAGAAGAGCGCTGCTGGATGGCAAAGGCCCATCGAGTCTAGCATCCTGCTACCACAGTAGCCAGATTTATACCTATGGAAGCCTGCAAAGCAGGGCATGGAATGCAACAACCCTCTTCCCAGTTGTGATTCCTAGCAACTAGTAGAGTGGTACCTTGGTTCTCAAACTTAATCCGTTCCGGCAGTCTGTTCAACTCACGAAACCGTTCAAAAACCAAGGCGCAGCTTCTGATTGGATGCAGGAGCTTCCTGCACTCAAGTGGAAGCCACTTCGGACATTTGGCTTCCGAAAAACGTTCGCAAACCGGAACACTTACTTCCGGGTTTGCAGCATTTGGGAACCGATTTGTTCAACAACCAAGGTACCACTGTATTCAGATACACACTCCCTCTGAAGGTAGAGGTAGGACTCCATCATGGCTAGTAGTCATCAATAGCCTTAACTTGCATGAAAAGAAAAGGCTGCTGGTGTTTTTTAAGCCATCCATATTTGATTCTGGTAAGTTTTAAGATGGAAGACATTGGGAAAGCTTGCACGCTATTTTATGAACCGGAAAACTCCAATATGGACTTTGGGATCTTTCTTATAGGCCAAGACAACTACCTTTGCTCTTTGAGATCACCTTCTTCTTCTCCTTTTCCTTAACTACAATAACCAGCAACAAATTAAAATCCAAAACAGCAGCACCCATGCAGAAGGGGCTGGTATCAGCAGGTCTGAAGAGCCCCAAGGTCTGCATATGGAAATGGCCCCCCAAGGAAACCTAAAAGGAAGGAGGGCAAACAGCTCAATCAGATTGCTCATTGGGCATGGAATGGCACTGCTGGCTGGCTAAAACCCTAAACAGGAGAACATCACACTGCGGTGTTATGTTTTATGTCCCATATCTTTCTGTTAAATGTGCAGGTGCAGTTTAGAGGTACTGCAGTGTCATCACTAAATGCCTCAGTCACTTTTTCACCTGCTTGAAACAAAATTGTTGGCACCATTTCTGGTTTTAGTAGCCAATATTATTCAGTCAATATGATCCCTGTGTTGGTTTCGACACTCCAATATTTGAAGAGCTCATAATGAAGTCACTTCTTTTAATAGAACAGCTAAACCCTCGGCAGAGGTTTCTTATAGCCACAGTTGCAGGCTGCACATTTCACTCAGCTAGCTCATAACTTGATGTTGTCCAACTCTGGTGAGCTCCCCCATTTCTTTTACTGAAAAAGCAGTGAAGCAGATACAGAACCATATCTCTGTTTTTCCTTTCAAACGTTTCATCTGTTCCCTGTGTGTTATACCTGGTAAAATATTGTACTTGATGTCCCAAGTTCAAATTCCTGATCAATCCTAAAACTCACTAGGCCATCTTTGGCCCTTTTCTCGTTTTTTGCCTAACCTAAATCACAGAGCTGTTGAGAAACCGGAATATGATAACTTCAACCATACTATCCTGCGTTACTGAATATAAGGGGTGGGGCACCAATATGTTTTTATGTATAGAAAGATATACTAATATTCCCTCTCTGTGGCAAGAACTCTTGGGCAGAAGATAATGTGCGTAAGGGAGAAAGGCACGAAAAATTGTCAGCTTGTTAGTTTAAAAAAAAATCTCAAAACAGGAACAAAATTGGACAAAATTTGCATTTGAGTTTTTAAGGAGCCCTATAGTTCTGAAGCAAGGAGCACACTTTGTCTTTAGATGATGGATTTATGTATCATACCTGAAGAGACACCATCTTAGATTTCTTCCCTGATAGAGCCAGAATGCATTTTAAGATGTTACTTGTGAACTGTAGTTTTTATAAGAACTTGCATTAAAACTAGCATTACAGTATTTCAAAAGCTGCTGCATAATTGATAATGGTTCTATGACTCTGTTGCAACTCTAATTTTATTGGGCAAGGGGAACCTGTGGCCCTTCAGATATTGCTGGATTTTTAACTCCCATCAGCCTTACTCTGAATGGTCAGCAGCCAGGAATCTGGGAGTTGTTGTCCTTCAACATCTGAAGGAGCACAGGTTCTGCATCCCTGGAGTAGAAGGGGCAAAATCCTTCCACTAGTTCAGTACAAAATTAAGCCCATAGCTAAATGTACTATCCTGCATAAATGTAAAGTGGGCAGGTCTCCTAATGTGGATCAATGGGTGAAATACCTTTTAGATCTTTGCAGTTCATGAACAAAGAGTCTACATTAAAAGGATAAATTTCACATTTCTTATACATCTATGTGGATTGTGGAGTAGAGGATAGATCTCTTCCCCTTACACTACTTACACCTCTGTATCTCTTTATTTATCCATCCGTTCCAGCTCTTCATGAATTCATGCTCCTGGGGTGGCTTATAAGATAAAATCTAACAATAAAACACAGCAACTATTAAAATACAGCAACTAAAACATGCTTTCAGATTCAAAGTCTTGTTCAGAGCAGAATTATTAACTGTATTCATTTAATTTGCTATGAAAAATATTACAAGAATATTACCAGAAAAAAATAGCAAAAAAATAATAATTTGTGATTCAGCTATGTGTTAATTGTAAATAGTTAAATTTGTGTGACACAGAACTTGAACACATGCCTGTAACCTGAAGTGAGGGTGTCTGTGGGGACAATAGGAAATAGAGACTAATTTGTTTGTCATTGAGTAGCTGAGATAAGGGAACCTTTTACTGTAAAATCTCAAGAACCATTCAATAAACAATTCACAGCAGAAGTTAGCCAAGGGAACAAATTGTGACAAGATCAGGAACTTATGAATTTTAAGGTTTTAATTATACTTATTTGCTTTCAGGCTTTGGTCCTTTTCGACAGCATCTTGTTAACTCTAGCTGGGAAGCAGCAAAGGTAAGAATGCCCTGTATGTTGAAGTACAAAAAAGGAACAATATTCAGGTGTAGCTTTGTGTTTCTCTTGAGTTCAAAAGTAGGGTATTTTTCACTACCTGGAATTATTTCTTTGTAATCAAAACATAAGCAAAAACTGATGAAATTTTAAAGGCATGAAATTTTAAGTGGGGAAATTATAGTATTAATAAAGCATTACATAATCAGTTCAGAGTTCTGTTAAAGCACAATAAATTATTGACTTTGAGGTTTCAGGTACATCATGGAGTTATAGGACTAGTTATCAAAGACTTAAGTATGTTTAAGATGTAGTGCAAGCTCTTGATAATTGGAATCATTATTTCCTTCCCCTCACAGACCAAATTTCACACAAGTTTTGTTTCTCAGAAATTATCTACTCGAAAAGAGATGGGGAAAATTATACAAGTACTTTGTGTCCTGGATAGGAAATTTATTGTACGCCCAGTGAAATTTTGAAGCAGTAGATAACCCAAATCACTGAACCAGAACCTCCTTACTAAATTGTCAGTATTTCAAGCATTCCAGGAGATCAAGCAATCCAGGAGATCTAAAACTACTTAGGATTTAAATATCTGAAAGACTGCCTCCCTCCCTACAGATGCTCTTGGCTGTTAAGATCAGTAGAGAGGACCCTCTTGGTACTTCCAGGTGACAACCAAGAAGGATGAATTCTTTGTAGCAGCCCATAAGCTGTGGCACTTCCTCCCCATAGAGAAAGCCTAGCACCTTCATTATGTGGTTATTTGTCATATGTTGAAGACACTTCTATTTAACCTGGCTTTTGACACGTGAGATACTTATTTTCGGATCCACCCTATTCTCTTGATTATAATTTCTTCTAACTGATTTTAATATTGTGTTTTAAATTGTTGTAATGCACTTTGGGACCTTGGTGTGAAGGGTGGGTAAGAAATATAATAAATTAAAAATTATTATTTCTCCCAGCCCTAGCTTGCTATGTGCCTGAAACCACAAGAATAATCACTTAATAGCTCCACACATTGTTTTCTGGTAGTGTTTGCCCCCTATTATAGAATACGGTATACTATCTTGGAGGAAAATTAAGTACCATTTATTTGCAAATTAGTGCAGTCTAAAGCCAAAATAAACTAATGAAACAGAGCATGGGAGGTTTCTTTGAAGACTATTTTTGGTTTCTTGCAGTGCTGAAAAATGACATAAGATAAGTGAAAGCAGTATATCATTAAACATGCCAAAGCCCTGCAGTAGAAGACACATTAAAGTCTCTTTCCTCTTTGGTTGCAAAAATTACTTTTGAGTGTAGCTGAAGATGCTGGTCCTTGTTGAGGACTAAGCCAGTGATTTATTCAGGCTTGAAAAACAATTTGATAGGTTCAGATTCCACAAATAATAATTTTTTTACATACACACCAGCCCTAACCTCTTCTTTCTTTTTATTGATGGCATCCATATTTGTCCCAAGCAAACGAGATTTCTATGCTTGCTAAAAGAGCTATGTTCTGTATGTTTTGGAGATGGGAAAACCCTGTAGAACATGGGTAGGCAAACTAATCCAGCCCGCGGACGGTCCAGGAATCAGCGTGTTTTTACATGAGTAGAATTTGTGCTTTTGTTTAAAATGCATCTCTGGGTTATTTGTGGGGCACAGGAATTCGTTCACCCCCCCCAAACAAAAACATAGTCCTGCCCCCCACAAGGTCTGAGGGACAGTGGACTGGCCCCCTGCTGAAAAAGTTTGCTGACCCCTGCTGTAGAAGCATTAAAGTTGTTTCTAGTTTACAAATTCTTTTCTGTCCTCAGCTTTTGATCAAATAACCTTTCTTCTTGCTTACCATGGACAGCAAACAGTAGTACAGTGGTACCTCAGGTTACATACGCTTCAGGTTACAGACTCCGCTAACCGAGAAATAGTGCTTCAGGTTAAGAACGTTGCTTCAGGATGAGAACAGAAATCGTGCTCCGGCGGCCCGGTGGCAGCAGGAGGCCCCATTAGCTAACGTGGTGCTTCAGGTTAAGAACAGTTTCAGGTTAAGATGGACCTCTGAAACGAATTAAGAGGCACCACTGTAGTAGCTTTCCAATCTATTCTTTGGCCTCGGTTTCTTGCATGGAAAAGGGGGGGGGGTGAGGTTACATGCGGCCATCTGACCCTGGCCTAACCGGCCACAGAAGAGTGTCTCATTAAACACAGAGAAATTCAAATGTGTGTGAGAAAATAAAATGCTAATTGTAAGCTGGCATGGATCTACTTTTGGAAAAACAGGCAAACAATGCTGCATTCTTATGCAAGATGATGCAAGAGCCTCTCCAAGACCATTCGTGCCACAGGAAAAACACAGCTGGCTGTGTTCTCCTAATGTGTTTACTTCGCCTGCAAGAATTGTTTGCTTGTTTATGTCAAACAGTTTATTGAGCACAGCTAATCAATGTTTCCGCTGACAAGGAAATTGTAACAGTTTACTCAGGAAGCCAACCTTCAAGAACAAGCTTGCCCCATTCACACACCAGTACCAGGGCAATCTTAAGTCTACGGCTCCTTCTGTGCCACCTTGGATTCGGTGCAATAAATGAAACACTGGGACCTTCCAACTTGAAAAGGAAGATAGAGATTCTTCCAAACAAGGACAGGTCCCTGGGGAGTGCGTTATGAGACACACATTTAATCATCAAAACAGCAAGTAGTTGGGGGGGCCAGGGCCAACAGAGCTTGGACAAGAGTTTTAGTAGCTAGTACACAGGAAAGGCAGATTGTGGAAACATGGAAGATGACATGGCAGCAGCTTCCCCATAGGGCAAGGTTGGGGAGCCTGTGGCCCTCCATAAGTTTTTGGAATCCAACTTCCATCAGTCCCAGCCAGCGATGACCCTCCAAGACCACCTGGAGGACCATACGTTTGGCCAACAGGGTGGCTAACACCTAGCCACCCCCTTAAATAGGCTGGGGGTGGGCTGCTCACAGCCCCCAAGCCCCTGGCTCTGATTGGCTGAGTGTACACTGTACGTCCTTATCTGAGGGCCCGATACGGCCGGAGGTTGGCAGTGCCAGCTGTTTCCTCCCCTGGCTGTGCCAGAAGATGGGAGCCTCCCTGGACCCACTGCAGCCATGCCATGCGACAACGGCTGCTCACCTGCAGTCCCAGGTGAGTGGTTATTTTCTCTGTTACGCATTTGGAATTCCTAAACATTGCATTGGTAACTTATACAAACATGGTTATGTCTACCTTCAAAAGTTGAGAACAGCTCTGCTCTATCAGACAAGGCTCTTATACGTTTAAAAAGGAAGGATGATGAGTTGGTGGTTGCTTAGGCCATCTCCTTCTGCATGCTGATCAGCCATATCTAAGAAATGGGGTTTGGGGGAAGTTGGGCCACGAAGTTTTGCTGTACAGCTTCCTCTGAAACATCAAATATTTTAACACAACCTAAGTTGTTCACTCCAACACAGGAACTGGCCAGAATTGGTCTTGGAAGTGATGTAGACCTACACATCATGGAACTGCCAGTGGCTTACAAAAAAGCAAGAGAGATTGTCTGTCAAGCATGGGCAACCCTTCACCCCCAAGTAAGTGAAAATATTACTAGAGGACTCAATTTAAAATTGAGCTTTAGATTCTCAAAATATTTTGTGTAATCTTCAGAAGATTCATTATTATTTTTTAGACAAACTGCTGGGATTAATCTTTAAAGCCCTAAACATATTGGGACCAGGTTATCTTACAGCAGGGACGAGGAATCTGTGACTCTTCAGATGGTATTGGACTCTTAACTCACATCAGTCCCAGCCAGCATGGCCAACAGGAAGAAGTGATGGGAGTTATAGTTCAACAACTGGATGGCCACAGGCTCTCCATTCCTGCCTTCAGGACCGTTTTCAGCCATATACCTGCACCCCCTTTAGCAGACATGCAGTGTTCTGCCTTCTTGCCGGTAGCCCCCCTTTTACTCAACTTCCTTCTGATTAATTTACATCTCATCTTTTCAGCAACAAGGCTCAGAAAAACTTTTTCTTCACTGCTGCCCTTCAGGAGTGTTAATTACTTGTTTTTCTCATAGTAATTGTATATCTATCTGATGTCCTTAATGCATCTGATATCATGCATGCTACTTTGTGAGGGTCTGGCCCTAAAAAGTAGCATACAAATAGTTTGAATGAATAAATAAATAAATAGACCAAAAGAACCCACGACTTTCTCCCCAACACAGTGGAAACATATTATTTCCAGGGACAAGGTTCTCTATAGCAAGTCTGTATTTCACACAAGGCCAGGGCACAGATTCATTATATACTGTATATCAGAACTTATTTCCTATCTTCTCTCTTGTGGGGCAACCTACAGGTTATGATTCATATTGGCCTGGTTTCTACTTCTAAAGCAATCATCATTCTGGAGCAGTGTGGGAAGAACAAAGGCTATAAAGAAAAGGATGCTTGTGGATTTTGTCCAGAAAAAGGTTGTTGTGTCTTAGAAGGCCCAGAAAGAATAGACTCTACAATTAATTTGAAGAGTGTCTGGAAAAACGTTCAGGTGGAAGGGATGGATGTAATTTTTTCCAGAGATGCAGGAAGGTAAATTACTTGCTGTATTGAGAAACCATGTCAGTTGTGGGAGACATGATTCAACTAGGAAATATTCCCAAAAGTCAAACACATCAAAATTTGGAAAGATCTGAGAAAACAGTATCTTCTGTGTATACTGGCCAATACTTAATGGAACATGATCTAAACTCTTAGGACCCCAAGTTAACCACAAGGTGGATCTGATGCAGCTTTTTCTCAAGTTAGCACCATGGTCCATGCATGCAGAGAACCTGCTTCTTGAAGCTTCTCCATTAGTCTCAAAGTTGGGAGCAAACCTAAATGCACAGGGGTGGGTAATATGTGCCCTCCAGATGTTACTGGACTTCCCATTATCCCCAGCTGGAATGGCCAATGGCCAGGATTGACTAGAATCTCAGTCCAGCAACATCTGGAGGGCCAAAGGTTCTCCATCCACAACATAGGGAATCTTTTACTGAATGCGATCTGGCACTTCTGTGCCTTAACACATCACTGAATTTGGGTTACTGTGATTATAATACTATTTTTATAATGCGAATTTTCTGGTGCTAGATAAAGCAAAGCTGTGCAGATATTCTTGAAATTGTTTGCTGTACTGAGGTGCTTTTAAGCAGTTAGCAACCTTGCCTCTTCTGATGCGTTGTCTGCAAGCTAGTCCTCAATACCAAGATGGAGTTAACTGTTAAAAGTATATAATTAAGCATACATATTGTGTAGTTTTAAGTATACCTTTCCTCCATGCTGCAGGTACGTTTGTGATTACATCTATTATACCTCTCTTTACTATGGTAATGGAAGAGCAGCGTTTATCCATGTACCTCCTCTATCCCAATGGGTGACAGCAGAACTTCTTGGAAGAGCCCTGCAGACTGTTATCTTAGAGATCTTAAAGCAATGTAAACAAGGGATAATGTAAAACCAAAAACCCTACACACACAAGTTACAAGGTATGTTCATTTTCATCTGACTTTATGAAAAATTCAATACCATCAGTCATACCTATTAAAAAAAATAACCAATGCAATCCAATGTTCTGTGTGTGCAAACTTATGCCTTCATGATTCAATGCACACACTGCTTACACTCAGGGATGAAATGGAAAAACACTTTGAGACACAGGAGCTGCATGTGTACATTGGAGTACTTTATGACCATAATGCAGGGATGTGGAACCTATGGCCCTCCAGATGTTGTTGGGACTACAACTCCCATCACCCCTCACCATTGGCCAAGCTGGCTTGGGCTGATAGGAGCTGGCTTTCCATTCCACCCGTAACTGTATGGAACAAGACACCATGCACATGTTAAGTGGCTATGGAAAACCATAGAAACATAAAGTAAAGCTGGATTCCCCCCCCCCCTTGCAAATAAATAAATCTTTCTGTAATTCTGGTTCTGATGAGGAAAATCTTGAATTTTAAAAGTTGGGTTACTGCAGATACTTTTGTTAAGAAATTATCCAAAGGGTGGACAACGCTCCCCTCCCGAAGAAACAAAGTAGCTTTAATAGAAATTCATCATCATCATTTAGAGCACATTTTGTTAGAAGAGGCTGCACTTTTTAAAAGTATCTTGTATTTGAATAAAAGGCAATACACAGTACGCAAAAATGCATACAGAATTCTTTTTATTTAACTTAATTATGTAGTACTGTAACTACTAGAAAAAAAGCAGAGTAAGAGAAACTAAAGGAGCCTTAGCTTCAGCCATTCAAAATAGACAAAAGGTTCTTTTTTTCATAATGTAAAGAATCCAGAATATATCGCAACAGGAATAAATTCTTACAACAGAATATACAAAAACATTTTGAATTTTTTTCATCATCTACTGATTCATTTTAATATAAACACAGGAATTTCTTTAGGAATAATTTATACATAGCAAGTCTTTATGTAATAAATTGGCCATGTTATTACTGTTTTATTTTATTTTTTTATTTTTTAAAAAAACTTTATATTTTAAACAAGGTAACTTGGAAAATGTTGTTTGCAAATGCATTCAGTTCCATAGCACTTTCTAGTTTCTGTGTTTTTTTCCAACTTTTTTGTTCCAGAGGTAGAACAACTCTGGCCAGTCCTTTCTTCTCAAACCTCACTGGTTTAGAAAACAGAAAAAAAATATTTAAAAAGGCAACAGAACTACCCAGAACCCTTCAGGTAAAGAGGAGAAGGAGCTGTTTTAATTTGGGTACAGAAATTGGATCTTCGGTATTCTTGTTTAAATAATTAGAATAATAAATAGGGACCTTTGATGGTCATTTAAAACAAAGATTTAATGTTGCTAAATATCTACATAAATTGTACAGGCTGCATACGAAGCCACCTTTTCTTTGAATAGAAGTGATAAGGAATCTGTAAACGTAAGTTGTCTTTCTTTCAGTGATAAGTATTGAAAGTGGCTTTTCACCACGATATCATACTATGCAGTCAAATCCTTCAATCAACCTAGGCAACAATAAAGCAGGTACTTAAATAATGCAAACAATAATTCCAATCCCAAACACGTTTACTTGGAGATGCATTTACCCTGGATTTCAGTGTAATTTACTTCCAAAGAAGCGTACTGAGGATTGTAGCTAAAGACTGCGTAGCAGCAACAATGGTTCTGTTTCCTTAACCAATGAGGTTTTATCCCAACCTGCACCCATACAGTATAAGTGAAATGACCAGTTGAAGATGATCCCACCCATCCAGAGGGCTCTGGAAGACCAGGTGACTGAAGATACAGAACATATTCTGGGTTTACTGTGTATTTGGGGCAACAAATGAACCATGATTTAAGAGTTGGTACAGGATCCTTTTTTGGCATATTGTAAAGCTAACTAGTAAAACCAGTATCCTAAAAAGGAAAGGAAAGGAAAAGAAAACCTTAGACATACATCCACACACACTGAAAAGTGCCCTTAAATTATTTTAGGCATTTATAAACTACAAACATTTCTATAAAAATCATTCTATGTACTTATAAAATGCAATGAAATATGTAATAAGGGTTTTGTTTTGTAAACCAGAGCTTTGTCAACTGACTACCCGTAATCTACTGGACTTAAGAGCCCTATTGAAAATGCTAATGGATTGCTAGTCAACAGAAAGGATACAAAAGTAAAAGATGACAACCACACACAAGTACACACCCATTCCACATGCACATCTAATGAAAGCCATCTGGAACTTGTGCAACACTTATTTATGGTCAGGTGGCCCAGTCCAGCAATCCCTTCCAATTGCTCTAGTACGTGCGTACAGCACATGCGCTACTCCAGCAGGGACTTCCCCATTTACTTCTGCGGAGCTGCCTTCCATTAAGGTGAACAGGGAAGCCAGGTGTGCAGAACTCCATGTGCACACGGAGAGCTGGATCAGGGTAAACTTGTTATCATGAGTAATAGCCTTTAATAAAGTTCTACATAGTGTACTTGACTCCACAGCAAAGACACTGAGACAGGAATTCAATTATACAAGGTCAAATTAATTAGTTGGATGTTGTCATGCTTTGTAAACTATGCCGAACTTTGGGCAAACTGTGTCTTTGTAGATCAGTATCTTTGCCCCATACCTGTATTTCACAGTGTCTTGCATATTTTCTGCCTTCAGTTTGGATAGACCTCCTTATAGTTCTTTTAAAAAACCTATTAAAAAGAAATGTTAAGTGCCTTGACTCAGAACCGGTTGGTCTTCCAAACTGAGATGATAGCCAGCAACTTCTAGAATACAACCCCATTGGTTCTGTATCTTCAGCACCCGCAGGGGAAAAAAAGGGTTTAACCTATACATAACCATTGAGTCGGCACATATATATGGACATGCTCTCTTGTTACTTCTGTTTGTGCCAACATTTTTTTCCTTTTAATTATGCTTAAAAGAGTGGGGTCGCAGTATATAGAATTCATTGCTGGGCTATGCAACTATGGCAGGAGCCCCAATAGATCCACTCATTGTTATCCAGTGATGGAGTACACCATTGAAAAAACAAAATTAAAAGAGCATAACAAGAATGTGTTACTGACTACTGGAATGGATATTTTTTTAAAAATAGAACTACATAGAACATTATATCAACAACAGGAGTGTCATTCATACAGCCATGGATTGTAGTAAACAACCCACAGCAGGTTCCCAGAGATCTAAAAAGCAGTTCCATCTCATGACTAGTCTTGAGGCTGAGCATTTCTTTTATTTTCTGTATCAACAGTAGCATCAGCGTTAAACTGTGAAAGAATCTTAACATCTCTTCTCTCAAGGAGGAGAAATTAATTGGAAATTAGCCCCACCTCATGCTCTGCTTTTGGTGTCTAGTTCTTTTCATAACAAGGTTAACATCTGATTTAATAGTAACCAAGCATGCAACACTTCTGTGTTGATACAAAATTCCTTCCTCTGAAACCAAACCACCTCCTGCACATCACTAAAAGAACTCAGTGACAGACACATATGAATCACATTTTGGGGTGGGGGTGGGGGTGGGTACTACATCAAATGGAGGTGTCATGAAATGAAAATCTGGGGCTAATTATAAGATCAGAAGTTAACAAGTCACCATTTCTGGACGGCATACATGCTGTTCTTTGAAAACTCCAAATGAGAAATTCTTGCTCTTAAAAATTTGCATGTTGCTTCAATACAAACTGGCCTCTATACTGGAGGATTAGAAAGTAGTCAAATCCCATTTTTTAAGTGAGCCAGGAGGACCTGGAAAAAGACAGGTCCATTCACCGAACATCCATCCCAGTAAAATTGGCATAGTGTACAGAAGACAGAATTATTAAACAGAAGCAGCAAACTGGCTTCTGCAAATTGAAATCCTGCCTCACCCACATTTTAGAATTATTTGAGAGATTCAAAAAACAGGTAGATCAGGATAATCCAATAGATATTATATTGCTCTGACTTCTAAAAAATATTTTGCCAAAATCCTTCATCAGAGACTCCTGGATCAATTTAGCAGTTATGGAATAAAAAGGCAACTCCTCCTATGGATTACTAAGATTAAAGAACAGGAGGCAGAAACGAAGAATAATGGGGAAACCTCTCAATGGGGGAATATAAACAACAAAGTCCCAACAGGATCTGTATTGGGACTGATGCTTTTTAATTTATTAAGGATAGTGAACACTCATGCTGACCATGAAAAGCTCCAAAGAAGAACATGGGGAATGAAATTGTGTGATGCACAATGGACCAAAAAATAACCCTAACTTTACACATACATGTTTGATGGGATCTGAACCATCAAGTTGTTTCCAAGAATACATACTGGAGGTTGTGGTGGCTATTAATGTGCAGTGGCAATGAAATAAACCAATTAGGGATTGTTTGGAAATTTATTGAAAATAACATTACAAATAACCTAATCAATTGGTGCAAAGTCACTTGAAATGTTGGGTATGATTCTGCTCACTACATCTCAACAAGCTGGAAAAGGTGTGACCATGGGGTTGGAACATTTTCCCAGAAAGGAGAAACTAAGAAGTTCAGCGACTTTAAAATTTAGAATATAAAACATTAGGGGGGGGGCGCGGATGATAGAGTTTTTTAAAAAAAAAATGCACAAGGGAGAGAAAATGGGTTACAGAAAGTTCTTCTCGTTGACACTGGATCTCTGGGTCACCCAATGGTAGAAGGTTCAGGACACATGAAAGAAAACACAGAACTTGCTGCTACAAGATACAAGGATAGCCACTGGTTTATATGGATTTAAAAAGGAGGCTCCATGGAGGACGAGAGGCCATAACAATGGCTGATGGCCATGTAAGTTAAATGGAACATCTGGATCCAGATGCAACAACCCTCTTGCAGGAGGATATAAACTAGAAGGGCTGCAGCCTTCGTACCTGGCTTGTTGACTGCTTAGAAACATCTAGCTGGCCACTGTGGAAAAATGGATGCTAAGACTGGTTGGATCCTTGGTCTGATCCATCAAGGTTATTCTTATGTTCTGATCAAAATACATAACGGACCTGGTAGTTCAGCTTTCCTTTTTTCCTTCAATGAAGACAATCTGTGTTGGCAAGTCACATCTGGTGACTGAAGGAGCCAAGATCTTCTGTGTTTACTATTAAGAACACGAGTAGATTTTTTTTTTTACGTTAATCCAAACATCTTTAATTCAAGCCCATCAAGATCTAAAATCAGTTCTCCATCCCATGCAAGACAAGAGTCTTGCTGAAAACCCCAGCCTCATGCCCAATATGAAGCCAACATTAATTCTGTTTGACATGCATAAACAACTGTATGGGAAAAGCCAGGTATATGATATGATCTGGGACACATACATGTACACACGCACGCAAATCCCAATACAAAGAACTGTGGAAACCAAAATGGAATTGTTAAAAATGTTGTGAGTGCAGAATGCAATGGTAGAGTCGAGGTGGTTTGGTCCAGATGGGCTGACTTATCACATGGGCCCACTTGCTTAGT